TAGTATTTCAGTTTAAACGATGATAGAAAACATCCCGTTCTACAGCAATACTTGGAAATATCCCTCAAAAGCAGGATTAGTATTTTCTTGCAGACTTGTAGCAACAGGGAGGGGGCAGGGGGCGCCCCCCCCAGCTTTTTTTCGAACATCACATATACTTTAGGAAATGCTCTTTTTAAAAAGGAAACGAACTAAATAAAGATACCTGGAAAAATGGTTCCCATGTACATGTACTACTATGCTTTGTAAAACAAATATTAAACTTATGAAAAGACATCATAAAGATGTCTGGTAAAGTACTTTTAAAGTGATAGTCTTCTTTGCAGGAAATACTATTACTCTGCTATGTCTCTATCATAAGTATAAGTTAAGTACCTCCAGTCCTTTACATATCATCTGATAGCTTTCAAAAGCTATCCTCTTAAATTTGGTCTACAGTTAGAGTTGCTGCCCCCAGGCTTTGAAAAAATAAAGCACTCCAAGCACAAACATGGAATCTCTAATACACAAGGACACTTTTCCTAGAGTAGTATTTTAACTGTTCAAGCATGTTTTTTTTTTCATTTTACCTGATGTCCATATTTTTGCAATTTTTCACATTAATTGTTGCCTTCTTGTTCTTGTTCAAGTTTATTATTCGGGTTTATATATCATATTGAAAACCTACTCCGATCTTTGTATTATTTCATGGAATGTTGAAAAGATTTTGCTGAATATCTTAAGAACTTTTATTCTGAATACAATAAAGACAATTGAAAAATAAAGCGGTTAACTATAAATATGATTTGACTTTATAAAAAGATAAAATTCTTCAATATATACATTATATATACATTATATTAGCTTTAATATTTAGGAACAAACTGTATAAGATGTCAAATATTTGAAAAATAAACAAATATTAAAGATAAAGTTCTGAGAAAGATCATAATATCTAGCTGTCTATTATTAGAAAAGGAGTATAAATAAATGTAATGTACTGAGAATAGTAAATGACATAAAGTTGCTAATACTATCTGTTTAATAAAAGTAAATATCAAAATCATCCTAGAAATGACAGGACTTAACCAACGTCAACTCTAGTTTTTGTGTCTGATCATCATTCCAGTCTTTTGCAGCGCTTCTCCATATATAAAGGCATCCCATACAACATGTGTCCAATTATTTTGAATGGCAGTCTGTGCGTACAGTCCGTTCAGGTGTGCTTTGTGGCAATTGTTGTACCACCAGCCTCCGTGCCATTCTGTAGCACAGTGTCTATATTTATCTACGTCATTGTCTTGATCCTTAGTGCTAAATTTACATCCATTGTGATAATACAAACTGTCACCTAAAACAGAGTATTGCTAACACAGTCCATTGCTTATCAATAAAACAGAGGGAAATGACATCATAAACAAGAATGATATGTACTATAACTTTAACTAGTAACACTCTGCTAGATATTTGGACAAAACATATCACTGTACAGTAAATATGTGTAATCAGGAATTTCATGCATTTCTTTAGGAAATACCTGAAATTCCTATTCTGCTTAGGAAATACGCGTATTTACTGATTTCAGTTATGAAACACACATATATAGATTATTTTTCAACGCTTTTTACACTTCTTGCTGACTGTCTTTTGGTGAGATGATTTAAATTACGAATCAATATCAATTATAATATCATATGAATAAATAATACGTGAAATAGACCTTTGTTTGATCACAATTATAAAAATTGCAGTAAATTCAAACCATCGAAGCATCTTAGTTGCAAATAAATCGAATTATAATGCTGTTTATTAAAAATGCAGAAAAAATATGATGAAATACATATGGAATAGACCATAAAACTTTACTTTCAGGCATTTTCCACCCTCTAGCTCACAATTTTAATGGTTCAAGGTAGAAAACTGCATTTTTTCATTGAATTTAGTTTAAATTAATTAATTAATAATTGCAAAGCAGCGGTACATGTACCTAAACACGTTACCATATATTTCTATGTAGCTTTAAAAAATTAAAAGTTCTGCATATATCAGCATTAAAAAATCGAAAAGAACTATTTGCAGTATATTGCATATTTTTGCCCTCTCAAAAGTCATTTTTTGAAAATTTCTTGACATCTACTGAATTGTATAAATTGTATAAAAAATATGAAATAACAAAGTATATTACAGCTTCAAAGTAGATTATTGGCTTTTTTTTTGTTTGTCGTCATAAACTTGTCGGATTTTGTATTTTTTCAGAAATAGGACAAAATTGACAAAATTTTAACAATTTTAGCAATGGAATTTATGAAACGCAGATCTGCTCAAGAACAATATTTAAATATTTCATCGATATTACATTGTATCATTCTACACATTATATCAAAATTTTGAGCTTGAGCAGACCTGCGCTTGGTGACTTTTACTAAAATTATCTAAGTAATATATATCCTTTTCTGTAGAAATCATGGCAATTTTCAATTCATGTCATTTTCCTGACGTCATTTCAAAGATATGAAGTCATTTTTTTTGAAAATATTCAATGCATCAAAGTCTGCAGATATACCCTATATCCTGTTTAAAGAAATAATTTTAAATTTCTCCGTCAAAGTTTGTTTGGGTGGGGGGAGGGCAAATATTGGTCATTACCGTATAAAGTCCTTTATGTTTATAGATTTATAATGGAAATAATTACGGAAAAACTTGTCCAAATATATCATTTTGATGTTGAAAGCTCCAAAAAATTTGCATCTCTATAAATATTTGAATTGTGAATATTAGGGAATACATTTTACATTAGAAGTACGGTAAAGAAAATGTCCGAATGAAGATACACGAGAGGAAGATTTTGCCCCCAGCAGAGATAATTGAAGAAAATATCTATTCTTAGAAATATCACTCACTAAAGAATATTTGTCATCACACATGCAAGGTAATCTTCCAAAATATATGTTTCAATTGGGCATAAATTTTAATTAATGATTTTTTTCTCTAAAAACCAATTTGGGGTCCTCATAGATTGTAACAGTAAACTATTCAGCACTAATGCTTTGATATAAATAAGAATAAATAAAACATAAATAAATAAGACAATAAATGTATTATAAGACGCTTATAGTATAAAAACTCATTTTTGGATATTGACCTCATTTTGAATAAAAGGTGTGGTTTTTTTTATTTATTTATTTATTTTTTAAAGAGCTTTGTTTTTAATGGATTTTATCTCATCTGGAAGTGAATTCCACTACTTGATACCATTATAATAGAAAGAATCTGACTCCGATTCAACAATTCTGTGGACCAAAAAATTCAATTTGCTGGACCTAATTGTTCTAGTTGTTCTTGTAGAGTTTTGAATAAAATGATCAGATAAATAATTTATAAATAAAATGATCAGATAAAAAATTGGTAGCTGGTAAAAGAAATTCCTATAACCAAATTCACTCTTCGTTTCAAAGCTGCACGTTTTCAATACAAACAGTTGATAATCAATGTTGATCAAACGTTTGAGTCATACAAAATTCCACTTACTGTCGAAACGTTTTTGATAATTTCATGAAGAGTTTAAATTTCACCGAGTTTAACCATATTCGGGTGTATACAAATCGTGAACAGAGTATCTTCTAGTCGATGAAACGATGATACATATGCCTTATCTTATCAAAGGACAAGATAGGGTAAGACCAGTATTTGGCCCCCGATTTTGGGTGTCTTTCAGAATGATCCAACAGTTTATCCATGAAAACCTGTTTTCACCCCTGCCACAAAATGAGTACTGGTTTTAAGATTAAGAATATACAGAGGTCACAGTGAGGTCAGGAAATAGGTCAATTTTCGAAATGTCAAATTTTATGCAAATTTTCACTAATTTTACAGCACATTTTCTTTCGGAAAACATAGAGCACACGCTTGCCTATCTACCAAATTTATATATTGTATACACTGATATCAGATGCTGTATATGTGTAAAAATCTCAGATAGGCAAGTGTGTGCTCTATGTTTTCCGAAGAGAAATGTACCCAAAATATGATGAAAATCCACCAGAATTGAGGAAATTCGGGAAAATGTCCTATTTCTGAACCCTCTAGTGGTTTCCATGTAGGCTTTGAATCAAAATTAGTGCTTGTCTTAAAGTTAGCATCATTTTAACTTCTTAACTACAAACTTTCACAGTTTTATCAGTGTTCTGATTTTTATATAAAAAATTTGGCTGTTACCCTATCTTGTCCTTTGCATTTTAGGGGGGATATATTTTGCTGGAAAGTATATGCTAGTATTTTTTTTTTTTTGGAAAAAAAGAGTTTATGGCGATTTGACACGTAAGGATGAATAAGCATATATGGACAAGGCATGTTTTTATGTCATTTTTTCTTTACAAAAATTCATATTCATTCTAATAAGTTTGTAAATATTTTTTTAATAATTAAATAACGCAGAAGTAGAAATTAAATTAATTGACAAACAATTCGTGTTTAAAGAATGGATACGTAAAGGGTACTCTCTTCACCTCGAGAAGATATAATGTACATTCCATCCACAAAATCAAATGTTGTATTATGCTCGGTGATTTATCGGTGTTATGTGAATTTGAATCAATTTATTTGGGACCAAAATGGCGTTTCAGCAGAATTACACACTTTCAACAGAAGTACGCTGTGGAGTGATGTCGTAGAGAGCCCCCTAAAAACTTGGATTTTGCTAAGATAATGCATTGAGTCTTCCCCAGAAAAATCATTGGGAAAAAAATGGAAAATTATGTATAATGTCAGCTTTGTAGAAACAATTTTCATTAAATGCTGTTTAAAACCCATACTTACTGATTATTTTAAAGGATAGGATTAATTATCCAGCTTTGTTCGGTAAAAAAAAAAAATGTGTAAAACTGGCTTAAAGCTTCAATGAATTTCTTTGCTATTCAGCAATTACATGTATTTTCTAAAACAGCCAGTTCATACAGATGTTATATTTTGTGGTTCCTATTCATTAAAATGAAAATCGTTCAGAATAAGCATTGTATCAAAATATTTGTCTTGTATAATTATTTCATGAACAAATATTATATATGATATAAATAGACTTACCCGCTGTTCCATTATACCCTGACACACTGAGGTTGTATTTACTACCTTCATCCTCGATATAAAATGTGGAAAACTGAGCGTATGCTTTAGCGCCATTAAATCTTTGTAGCTCAACCCGGAGTTCCTGGTCTTTGTTCCTTGTCAGCTCATAGATTGCGTCATTCCCTTTGAAATAAATATCTTAACTCTTATATCATGTCATAGCATTAAGACCCCCGTTGTTTCTCATAAGCTTTCGAAAAAGTGTATCGTAAACTTGTACATGTTGTAATTGTTTTTGTGTTTTATTTACAGCGCGGCAATATAGATTCCGGGTCTAGCTAAATATATAGTCTAGCTATTTTGTTTACGAGTATGTGTATGTGATTCAGGCTGACTGATAATCACAACGGGCATTGTGTGCTTGCAAATTTTTAATATGTGTTATATAACTTCGCGCTTTTTTACCTTTGTGTCAGGAATGCTAATAAATGAAAGTATACACAGGACTGTTTTTTTATTTACGTAATTTATGAAGCTTGCTAAAAAAAATTTTTTTAATTATTAATAAATGACCATTAAAATTCCAAACTGCATTTTCATTTTTGTCAAACAGTGCATTTTTTATCCATAAAAACAATTTTTATATGGAAATACGTTATTATAAACATACTCTGTATATGTGTTATATGTTCTGCTCACGCATGTATGTATATATGTTGTAATAATATGTTGAATTGATCTCTATGTTGTTAAATAACAACCAAAAAGATATCAATAAACTGGTTAAAAAAAAACCTGGTTGACTTTGTTTTCAATCGCATAAAGCTTACTTTGATCACAAAAATTCCAATCAAATTCGCAAAGAGAATCAACATTGATTTTAACAAGATATTTCAAATCGGTTTAAGGAATTTTGAATAAAGTAATTTCATGTTAAAGTGCAGTTTTTGCTGCATTGTGGCCTTTGTGATTCCAGTGATGCCGACACGGCTCGGAATCCAACAAAGTTAACTGTTTTACCCTGTTGGGTGAAGTGATAATACTAATTAATATATCTTAAATATAAGAATGATCAAGATTCTGATTTTTGGGAGTTGAACTATGTTCAATCTCCCATGGGCATCACGTATTTAACATGCGCAGTAATTTGTGTTGATTATATAGAGCTGAAAGCGAGGCTACTGTGTCGGCTGATTTACTCCTACGATATTCAACAGAAAACATGCATAAACATCCGCCACAAATAGTTCATGTCATTTTCTCCTGAATTTATCAAATTTTCATAATATAAGTAAATGTAATAATAAAGTAATCTTATTTTGAATATTAGATTTCGTTCAAAGTAAAAATAAATTACAAATAACCTCGAAAGTTTTTGTAATGAAACTCATTTTTAGTGTAGCGTCCTACAATGAAAGAGATACGAACGACAACTCTACATACTGACGGCAAGCGATAAATCTAGTCTTCTCGACGCCCGACGGTCCCGGATTTTTAGCAATTTATTCAAACTTTTCATGAATATTTTCTTGGTTTAAATGAATTCATTAATGCATAAAAACTTTAGGAAACATGCGTATTCATTACTAAATCAGCAGTGTCACCTGCCAAAAGCGGTAAAACTAGTACTCTTTTGCAAATGTTAAAACCAAAACTGGACACCGATGTTTTCGTAAAATCGCGATTAAAAACAATAAAATGAAGTTTATATTTTTTAATAAAAGGAAAACCTCATTTGCATACCAGATAATTTGTACGCACACAAACTCTCACATATACCACTGTTGTTTTTTTTTTATGTTTGGTCAATATATATTTGTTTTTAACTTGGTATTGCATTTTTTTCACAATATTAAAAAAGATTAAGTTCTGACAAACTCCATGTATAATGTTTGTGTAATTGAAATACATTTATATTCACAGAGAAGTTTTATATAACAAACCTGTTAGCTCTTAAAAGGATGCTGTGTTAAAATCCACATTTTATCAACATTGGTATTATTCCTGCGAAATTGAAATTTTCATAACACATGGTAAAAGTGCAAAGGAAAAATATATTACAAATTTGTAACTGTGAGCAGTGAATTATATAAATGATCAACTGCCTCTTATATGAATATAACGGCAGTGTCCATGTTTTGCAATGGGAAACCCAAAATATGTGAAGGATGAAAAAGTAATAGAAGAAGCACAATGGCAATATGTAATAAAGATTCTATGAAAATTACGTTCAGTGGTGTAAGAGGAGTTGCGGATAAGAGATGGGTATACCTAAAGCGTAACAAACAGATGGACGGAAATCCCTATTTATAAATACCCTCGAGCTCCCGCTTTTCAAGCAGGGGGTATAAAAAAGGACTAGTGTAGGCAGGCAAGCATTATGGCCCATGCATTGTTTTGCTATTCAATGTCTCTGAATGTCTTTCTCAAAACTGTTGCAACTCAAAAAATCTGAAACAGTTGTCTGTCTATTTGAAATAATAATATTGTTCTCTCACTTAACCTCCCGATCAAAGATTTTATTTTACACCATGTTCAACTCCCACGAGTGCTTTCAGTACTTTGATTAATGGATTGTAAGCAAAAAAGGGAGTCTGAAAATATAGTAAATATGTTGTCACTAGAAGGTTTTATGTATTCAAATGCAAGTTGTATGGCTTTTGCTTCCGCAGTAAAAACTGTTGCTTCATTTGGAAGCCATGTTGAGAATATACTATTATCAATTAATGCAGCTGACGCAACTGTATCTTTATCTTTTGAACCATCTGTATAGATTTCGACTGTAGAACCCATAGAATGTTTTATTTCGGCCAATCTTTGTTTAAAAACAAGGGAATTCGTTTCTGACTTCTTGAATTCAGTTAAAGATTTGTCGACACTTGGATTTATTAATTTCCAGGGCAGTATTTCAGAGACAGTTGTAGGCTTTATAATATCCAAAGGAAGTTCAGAGTCTCTTATACGTATATTTTTTAGATAGTAGACCAAGTGGTTTTTTACACGTTGTTCTTTTATGATTGTTTAACATGTTTAAAACGGTATAGATTACTGTTGTTTTGAATAGAAAAAAAATTGATTATAATGTTCATCTTTATCAAAGCTGACACCGACGTTGTGATTTTATATATCTTTGAAAACCTTATAATTTAAATGTTTCATAAACAAATCTTACCAATCCAGTACTTTTTGGAGGGATGCCCAAATCTTTGTATATACTAAGTATTCCGTCACTTCATTTAGGTAGACATAGGTATTTTAAAATGTATAATGTAAATGTTACATAAACTAAACTTACCAATCCAGTAATTTTTAGAAGGATCTCCAAATCCTTGTTTATATTCTGACCACGTCCTGTAAAAATCTGTAGAACCGTCTTGTCTTCTTTGTATAGCCTGAAACATTGAAGGTTATCTCTTAGATCTTTTTTTACGTAAAGTAGGTTTCAGTAAGAAAACTTTACAATGACAAGTAATAGCTTTTCAAAAAAGCTTGCCTGACTAATGCAATCAATATCTATAGAACCTATAATCATGATAAGTTATTTATATAAACTTTTACATTGGGGTGAGGGGTAATTATTTCAAAAGATTAAATTATGAAGACGTCGAACAAAACATCATGCATTAATTTTAAGTTGTTTGCTACTTATGAAAGCAATGGACAGCCTCGTTTTTGAAGGGGGGGAGGGGCAGCTAGAGAATTTTTTTCACTCACCTGCAAAAAAAAAAGGAATAAGCCCAAAGTTGAAAATCCTAATTCGGGGGGGGGGGGGGGGGGGGGGGGGGGGTCGTGACCAACTTTTTTTCAGTGTAAAGTTCTTTCTGTACCAATTTTTTTAGCATTAAATACTGCATTTCTCTTTCATAAATTTCCTGTTGTATACGGGGTTGGGGGGGGGTCCAACCTTTCAATTAAAATTTCCTATATATAGTAAAAGGTTGGGAAAAAAGTTGGGGGACAGCCTCCTCCCCCCGTGCACCCTCTGTTGCTACGTGTCTGATGGAAAAGGAACAGTGAGATTTTATTTAAAGGTTAATTTTGTATGTGTTAAAAATTGGTTTTGATCTGTTTTTCGTTTGTTGTATAAGGACGCCTGTGGAGTGTTACAAATACTTCGAACTCAGGACCAATGAGCAGTTTCATGTAATCTTTTTCGTGCTAACACCTACTGCGACTCAGGACTTGGTTTTAAACGGTCTCATCCTAAGGACCGATCTCCACGTCCTGCAGTGGATTCGAACCCTCGACGTAAACTCAGCTCCTTATTCCGCAACTCTATAAATGGTTTTAGAAGATGTAGTAATTAAATAAGGGAAATGAACTAATAAATTAATGTATACTGGAAAGCCGTGCCTATATGTAAAGGTTATATTGATTTAAACATTAAAATTTAGAATTAGATTCAACTGCATAGACTACCAGGAAGACAGCTGAGAATATGATAACTATGCAAGAAATAAATGAATCGTTATGATTAACATGCAGAATATGTTTAAATTAAGAACTATATTGTTGGGTATGCCAGAGTATGAACGATTGTTGGAAACAGCCCGTTATGCATAAATGACCCATGCAACGAACTTGACGGTGATTCCTTATACTAGTATTCCTCAATCCTGGAATAGGAGGGACACTTTTCCTAAGTCTATTTCCTGTGTTTCATAGGAGGAAGAATTTTATCTCTGAACACTGGGGGGGGGGGGGGGGTCCGGGCGAGATATGATCAGAAATATTATGTATATTTGGCCAGTTTTCCTCTTAAACTTTAATTGATGTAACTTCTAACTGCTTTCACAATATCATTGATATGTTTTTCCCCAAAGTTCGAAATTCCGATAAAAAGATGAAGTTTTCATTTCCATTCAGTGCAGTAGAATCATCCAGGAAAAGGGCGCGAAGATATACACGTGACATTTGGCGCAAAATGATTGTGACACCCCTTACCTCGAAGACAAATGGACTCATCCAATAGTACAGAAATGCAGAAAAAAGGTCAAACGGACATGTCCGTATATGAAATCGCATGAAATAAACAGCTGCATGCAAAAAAATTAAAGGAAATAAATACATCAATATATTGTATCAGTAAGACGGTTATTTTTTTCTGCTAAATGTTTTGTTGAAACGGAGGTAACAAATTCCAGTGATAACCAACATGCACAAAATTTTGCTGGCTAACTGTGACCTCTTCTCTTCGCACCTTGGAAATATCAATCCTTATACAGCCTGACGCCGTGACGTCAGGCAATAAACAACATTAGAGAACAAACAGGCAAATCTCCTTATAGTAACAGGAAAGTAGAATTAGTGACTAATTAAACATACCGTCCAACCACCCCCTTCTGTTGTCATATCACAGAACGCAAGCTTTGTCTTAGATGTAATATTAAGTTGATAAACCCCGTCGTGTCCTTGCAGACTCGGCTTATTCCGTAAAATGTTCCAGCAATCCAGCACTGTTTGAAAAAATACAAGTTTACATTATAATAGTTAGGATTCAGATGTACATGACATATTTTTAGCAGACAGCTCTTGGAATTTATATCATCAGGACATTTCTTTACGAATATGATCAATCACAGCTCAGCTATTCTTAAAACGATTTTTAGATTTTCACCCTAATGTGGCCACGCCCTACCCCAGGTCATGATTTGAAAAATTAAGGATCTATATTTCGCTGAAAAGATTTTTGATCTATTTATTTTATTTTAATGGTAAACAAACTAATTACCTTTCGTGACCCCGCTCTACCCCCCGGGTGAACAATTTCTAAAAAGAGGTAAATTTTTGACAAGTAAGTTGATGAAACAAAAATATCAGCAGTCTCGTTTAAAGTCATCATTTCGTAAGTTCTATGGTCGATACAATGACCTTGTCAGTAAATACAATTTATTATTGAGTCAAATGCTGACTGACGTTTTTCATACCAATTGATAGTCCATTATTTATACATTGAATTGCAGACGGATTTTTTCGTTATGGCCTGATCATTACAGGTGTGAACGGTCAGCAGGGGATGCTCACTCCTCCATGGCACATGATCCCACCTCTGATGTTTAGGAGGTCCGTGATTGCTCTGCTCCTATTTTGTATTGTTTTATGGACATTGAGATTGAATGCTGTTCGTTATCTCCACATCCTTCTCCCTTCATCCTTCCACATAATTTTTTGCTTTTTTGGCCCAGTGGATCTTAAGAGAAAGAATTTTTATTGACCCTTCCTATTTCTATCTTTCCTTGATAATGTCTTTTTTTCAGGGAGTTAGGCCCTTCATTTTAACAATTAAATCCTCCTTCTTAAACTTAGCCAATGGTTCTTGAGAAGAGATTTGAAAATTTTAAAGACGGAGGAAAGAACAAACGGACTGGCGAAGGACAAATGATATCAGAAAAAGGGCCCATGGGCCAAATCGCTCACCTGAGCACATTGGTTAGGCAAAAACACAAATCAATTCAGTATCGCAGTATTGAAAACATTACAAGGAGGGGAGGGGCTTGAATTTTAAACTATATCAATATAACAATGGCTTTGTTGTACTTAAGACTTTTTTTAAATTCCCTTATATCCCCATAATGACTCATTCCAATTCCAGGGATCATCATTTGAACTTGAATCTACACAATCTGAGGATGTTTCCATATAAATCTGACTAAAATAGCTTTTCTATTTATGAGAAGTTTTTTTTCCAATACCTTCCTATGTTAAACTTTTGAATCCCATAGTGGACCCACCCTATCCCCGGGAGGGTATAATTTGAATAAAAAAGTTTCTGTCTTTGAGAAGATTTTCCTACCCTATGTAAGACTTTGATCCCCCATTATGGCCTCGGGGTGTCACGATTTCAACAAACTAAAATTTACACTACCTGAGGATGTTTCCACATGAATGACCATTGATGGCTTTGCTGTTCTTGAGAAGAATATTTTTAAGATATTTTCTAAAAATCATTTCTATGTAAATTTTAATCGCCCATTGTGGTTGTGTCCTGCCCCTAGAAAGAAAACTTGAATCTACACTAGTATTTGAGGATGCTTCCATATAAATCCCGAGAAAAAGATTTTTCTTGTACATTCTAATGTAAGACTTTGTCCATTATGGTCCGACTCCATCCTCGGAGGGAGCCATGTTTGAACAAACTTGATTCTACACTTCCCGAGGATGCTTCCGCATACATATTACCAAACTTTGCTATTCTTGAAAAGATTTTTAAATATTTTTCAAATATATTTCTATCTAAACTTTTGATCGAATATTGTGGCCCCACCCTTCCTACAAATTTATAATACACAGAACAATAATATTATAGTGTTATCACATTCAGATGCCCTTTGTATTTATTGCTAAATTTTTTAGTTTGGACCAATCAAATGAAGTTATACCTATCACATGGTTAATTTACTCTAGTCATTTTTCTTTTAAAAAGAAACCACGGAATTTTACATTAACCATCTCTTCTCATCCTCGACCCTTTTTGGTAATTCTTACAATTTTACCCAATTACTTGTAAGTTGTTTGCTTATGAAAAATGTAAAAAAAAAAAATTATTTATGGTCTTATGGTGCACTGGCTTGTTTGTGACCACCTTTTCGCTTTTTAAGTGTTTTTTTACCATTATACTATTGGCTGGGCTGATTTTTTGTCATGTGACTAGTCCGTATGTTTAACTAGTCCAATTTTCAATAACTGTATATTTTTTAATCCCAGCCAATTAATTGTCATATAATTTTCTGAATATGTAATGTAGTTTTAATCATTTGTTAATTAACTCAATAAATGACATTTTCAAGCAAGTGTGCTTTTAATCATTCATACAAGAGATGAGGCAAAATTAATCCGGAATTGACATCTCTTATTACAAAAAAAAATTGTAAATTTCAATTTCCTTTAGTTGATTAATTTTGTGATAATGATTTTCATGATATACACATAAAAAGGGATCCATGTGTTCACTTTTAAACTGTGTCCTTACAACAATATGTAAGTATTGGACACTGTTTGAATGCAAGAAGACTTGTATCTCATAAACGTACATTTATTAGAACTATTTTATTGCTGGTCAACTGTATTGACCAGTATTGAGTATTAACTTGATTTGAGTTCTAATAAAACCTGCCAGATTTACTCTCATTTAATGCTTGTATATTGAATATTTGAATTATGAATTGATATTCGAATATTAACTCATCGAATGAATGTTTGAATATTCGTTGACATCTCTATTTAAAATAATGTCTCCCGGGGGTGTGGGGGATGGCACAAAAGGGAATCCAAAATTTACATTGAAACATATAGGAAAAATCTTCAAAAATCAATTTTATTTTTTCCGACTAACCGATAAGATACATATTTCAATATGGTTTTCTATTCTGATCTGCTCTTATTTCGCAGGTATGTTAAGGAAGCATATAAATCATTTCTCGGGAAATAAAGACTTTTTAAAGAAAATAAAGTTTGATAATTTACCCAAACCACAGATAAACGTAAACTATTATTAACTATTGCATAAAGATAAAAGAGTGTCTAACGCAAAGACGTGCACCACCACCACTGCATCACGTGACTTCTATTTATAGCGAAATGTTCCTTAATAAAAAAGCTAATAGAACAACAATACCCCGGAGTTTAATAAATTCTTTGAGTAAATAATATAATCTGAAAACATCTATTTTGCATAGAAAGTGCTGCTAGAATCCCACTGTCCTGTCAGTAAAATAATAATTCCACACATTCGCACGAAACCTTACCCTATGTTTTGAATTTTATACAAATGAACCGAGATTTTTCGTAAAACCATGCTTTACTCTGGATTCTAGCAGCACTATCCAAGTATTTTAGAAGGCGAACTTTCGATCTGTATAAATTTCATGTTTTGAAATATCCAGCTTATGCTGCATTATTTTTGTCAGGAATGACAGAGGAAATGCCGACCGGGATACGTTTTTAGCTGACTGTCTTCAAAAGAGAATATATTCGATGAAAATAAATTAGCATACCTGTTTTATTTACTTAACCCCATATGAATTTCACATAATATTCACGGTATTTGCTTTTCAACCCCATTTTACGTATCTTTGTACATGCCGTTCTTAGCCAAATTCTCTTTACACGACATAATCTATTCCCAAGTTACTTGATGTACACATATGACGTCATCAATGGTACATTTTAATAAAAATGACAGATACAGCATAACAAAATAAAAACATTTTATTCTTGTTAATGTTTAGACGTTTCTATTTTTTTTTCTAGAGTTAAATTACATCTCTAAATACCAATATCACGAAAACTTGTGTTCTAAAATTGACGTCATCTCGCCTACTATGACGTCATAATGTATCACTGACTTAGTCAAGGTAGAATATTCTGTATGCTTCCTTATCACCCCTGCGTTGTTTTTATTTCTCTCTTTCTAGATTTTCCTTCATTTCTTGTTTGTTTGGTATGGTCTGGATGTGAACTATGTTTTTGAAGATTGCAAGAATGACATGTTTTCGTTTCGATTTCTCAAGTCAGGCCTGGGCAGGGACCATGAAAATCACAATTTGTCTTTTTCTTTGCCTGTTAATGCTTTGTATCACAATTGACAGAACTGTTCAATCGAGGAAACTGATAATATTTACGAACAATGCACAACAGACATCCAGACATAAGAAAAAAGACATTCAGCGATAAGTCATAATTTGACCTGAATAAATCAGGTGAACTTAAGAAAATAAATACCTGGAACTGTGATACATTGATGTGACTGAGAAGTCCATGTGCCATTAGGTAAGCATGTAGAGGCAAGAGACGAGTGAGGGGGCATAATACACTTATAGTTCAAAACTGTACCGACTCTGGTTGAATTCACAAACACGGTGGTGTTTTGATTGTCTGGATGTTCACCAGGGCAATCTGTGCAAACAGAATTTAATTTGATTAACTAATATTATTTACAATTATTCTTGTAGGCAAATTCGCCATTTATATTGCATGAAAACTAAACACAAAAAACAATGCCTCGTATTAATATCCGTGTTCTTTTTTTTATCAATTTTAACAAAGTTTCGTCAATCGGTTATAATTATTAGTCAATACAGAGTATACTTTACGTAAATCAATTTTTATCACACAGCGCTTTTCTTTATAACATAAATATAAAAATATATATATACAGATTCCTTGTAGATATCTTCAAAATTAAGAATATTGGGACTTAAAATCACTATTTTATCGAAATAATTTCACTTGCCTATGTGCGTATTGTGAATTATGTATACCGGAATTAGCATTAATTTTGCTTTCATATTTACTGGTATGGCGTGTCAGATGAGAGTTGAATCTATTGCACATCGTTTAAACTAACAACATTTAGAATTACACAAATGTTAATTCTATCTAGTAATTCTTGGTCACTAAAGCGTAAAATCTGATAAAATGATGGTGAAAAATACTTTTACTGAATAAAGGTATGCGTCTTCTGTAAAGATTATTTTATTTAAACCGTGAGTTGTAATGCGGTAAGAGATTCATATTGTGAAATCACGAATTCTTGTCGGGGTTTTATTTTCGTTGTTTGGTTTTTTTTAGGTATAACGAGACCCACGAGTTCATGTCCACCACGAAATGAAAATGTTACATACATAACTACTCAACAATTCTTTATCCACGAATTCAAATCCCCACGAACCTAGGGATTTTACTCGAACCACGAAAATTTGACCCCACCAAAAATATGTGATTTTACAGTACTCCTTAATTGCGTGATGACAGCATTTACACCTATACATTGGTCTATGAATAGTTTACAGATGTAGACCGTGTGTTCTTATTGGATTGCAAATTTGTAATGTCTTTGGCTTTCTTGTAAATTTAGCTATTACTTAAACTATATTAATTTCAAAAGTTCCAGACTGCACATGGGCAAATCAAATTTCACAAAGCAAAACATATTTTATTGTTTTAAAAATCTTTGAGAAATAGATCTGTATTGTATTTGGAACGATGTTGATATCAAACTGTACATACAGTTAAACTCGGTTATAGAGAAGTCCCTGGGACCTGTGAATTTAATTCGCAATATCCTAATTCGTTATATCCATTTAACGAATTCGTATAACCATTAAAGCGAATTCGCAATATGCAAGTACGAGGGTTGATCCAAAAGTAATGTCACAGTGTCCATATCTTTTATATTTGGCGTCATATTATCAAATACAATATACCAAAAGATGCACAAATATAAATCTAATTAACACAGAAATTTTTAATTAATAATGTGCATTTGAATTTATTTTATAGATGTTTAAAACATAGAGCATAGGGGGTGTCGCCGCGTCACAAAGGAACGTCGCGTTGTACAGTGTATTTTTTCTTAGAATTAAAAAAACAAACACGTTAAAGAGATTATAAAAAAGCAACTAATCTCCCATTTTTTTAAAAGACACAATTCTCGTCATTTTTTAGTGTTAAATTAAAAATTAAATTTTACTGCATTGGTATTTGTGATCATAAACATTGTTGTTTTACTCTGTTGAATTGAACAAAGGGATTGCCGAAAGGGTTAAAAAGGCTCGACGAGTTGTAATGCATTTTTGTTTCAAAATATCGGAATCATCAGTAGCGACATTTTCGTTAATCAATTAGACTTACAGAATAAAGAATGTAAATAAGAGACATTTTAATAGATGGTTTCAGCAATTTTGGGCTGGTGATTAGTCACTGAATGATTAGCAGAGGGCAAGTAGACCGAAAGATAGGAGATAGGACGGAAGCGTTCAATGGTGTCTGACGTTGTCGAAAAAGAGAGACGTATAGAGTGACATGTGGATTTTTAAGTTTGTTTTAAGCTACTGTACAAAATTTTGACAGAGGGCTTACATGTACTTATGAAAAGAGTGCGTGTATAATGGTACCAAGAATGCTTAAAGAAAGTGGAATTGGTGAAAGTGTTTGCGAATCATGAATATTTTAAATGAAAGGAAGGGGAAACGCTTAAAAGTATGACGCTGCGTATCCGTCATATGACGTTATATTGAGGTGCGGCGACTACTATAAACGCGCATTGTCTAAAATCCGATATTTTGAAAAGTATTTATCATATTTCTTTGAATTTTTCAGGTCTGATTTGAAATAAATAAAGCTTCCATCATGTATAATTTTGTTGCTTTACGTCGATTTATAGCAATTTTATCAACGTTGTGACATTACTTTTGGATCAACCCTCGTATTACTACCAAATATCTTTGGGAAGCAAATATTACAAAACATATCTTCGAAAACTAAGGTTTTATTATTAACTAAAAATTTTTTATACAAATGCTAAAAGGGAATAAAGTCAGTTCAATTTATCAATTTTTAAAATAAATTTTCAAAGTTCGTTTCAAAAGGTATACATTTTATTAAATTTAACCTCAACGGGACTCAAAATCAGTTCGCTATATCTGTAAATTCATTATATCAAGTTCGTTATAACCGTAAAATTTTACAAAGATTTAAATTGTTAAGAATTTTACCGGGGACCCAGAAAAACTTCACTATATTCTTGAATTCGCTATATCCGTGTTGTTCGTACTAAACGAGTTTAATTGTAAATGTTACTATATATATATATATATATATATATATATATATATATATATATATATATATGGAGGTTTTATGTATAAAGGAGACCACTCATCCACATATATATACATTAGGGGGACACGGATATTGAGGGGACACCAAATTGGTCCCCTTAATGTTTAAGCTTGAATACCTAAATTACAGAATGATCCAGTAAGCATTAGTTGTAAACTTCAAATAAAGATTGACATGATCTTACAAAATTTAATTACATTTAAATTTTTTAAGTATGGAAAAGGTAGATAAATAGCATCCAATTTTCAGCATATATATTTTTAGGTAAATAAATTTATGCTTTAAGGACACCACTAAAAAGTCTCTTTATTTTTCTTATTTCCCATATATAAAAATAAATCTGCTAATTCATGCATTCATTTATGGTGTCTTTAAGCTTAGGAACACGATTTTACATATTTTTGAAAACTGGTAAAAATATTTATTTTTTCTTCACCATGAAACGCATGACATTTCTGTTTCGAGTCGTGCTATGGTCATCCGGGTATTTCCAGGGAAGGACGCTATGTACAGAGTACAGTCATGTTCAAGGGTATGTGATTTTTTTAAATGGTAAGTTTATTTGCTAGGTGTATTTTGCTGAGTATGAGAATTTGTGTAGGCCTAAATGTTGACAGTTAGATATTAAATCGCGAGATATTTATTATAGTTAGCCAACTAAAGTAACGGCGTGTATCACCAAACCATGCAGGCACGTACGCATCGTTTTTGAAAATGGGGGGCCAACCAGAGATTTTTTTTTCACCTGAAAAGTTGACAAGCAAAAAAAAAACAAACAAACAAAAATTAAAAGTTCCCCGAACTCGAAAATCCTATTTCGTGACGTTCGATGGGTGGGTGGGGGGGGGGGGGGGGGGGGGGGAAAGACCAACTTCTCGAAGCCAACTTACTCTCACTTCCAATTTTTTTCTGTACGATCCTTGATATTTTTTTATTATGTTATAAAGTGGGGGGTGGGGGGGTGGGTGGGGGTCACCATCCTTTCAATTTACTATAGTCAAGGTAATGTTGGGGAACAAAGTGCCCCCCTCCCCCCTGCGGATGCTATGTCCCTGCAAAGTTGGGATGTGGTTACTGATGTTCATCCAACATGTACATGGTCATGATGATGTATTGTTGGATAATTCACAATTTATTGCAAATTGGAAACCAAATTAAGCTTTTTTTTTTTAATTATGTTGGTCAATAGACGTTTATTGTACCTTTTTTAAGTATTAGCTAGGTGACAATATTACCTTCAATATTCGTTATGTTTAGAGAAAATTCAAGATAGAGATATTGCTAATTCATACTCCAAGGCCCTAACATGCGAGTATCCTTTATTGCCGAAAAATACCACATTTTTCTTTGACATATCCAGCTACACCAGTCCGGGCTAAAAATAAACCCCGTCCATGACCTTGGGTAAACAGGAAGAATTATTGCCGCCTATATCATTTCCTGATTATTCACCAACTAATCGCTAAACGAACCAACAACTATTAAATTAATGACAATTAAAGGTCGAAAAATGTCTTGAATCTAAAATAATTCAATTAGAAACGCAATTTGAATGTCTTATTTTAAACTTTTGCTGGCCTATTTTTTTTCGATGTTGCTACGACCTCCTGTGTTAAAATAACATGTGCTTTGTCGGAACTGACAATGACCGAAACACTATTTTTCCAAGTGAACGCAGTATCATGACAGATAATAGAGAGAAAAGTATAAACCTCATCCGCTGCAGGGCTTTGGGAAACACCTGTTTAACCAGTTTTTGCATGTATTTTGCTTGTGCACGTGAACCAGCCTTCAAAATTTCCTTACAACACTGTACAACTTGGTGGGCGGAGTTCTGTGGTTAACTGGCTAAAGCCGAGAGACTAGAGCCCAATGGTGTACTTAAACATCGATCACAGTAACTGGATGTTATTGGTCAGTGTCATTTGGATAAGAAAACTCTTTAAGAATCTTCTCAAGAACAACAAACCCATGATTGGTCATATTTTAATGGAAGCATCCCCAGGACTGATATTTCTGCTTTTTCCTAGTCAGAATGCTCAGGTGAGCACATTTTCATTCATTTCATGATAAGTATTTTGAATTTCAGGTAAATATCAGTATCTCGAACATGGGATATCTAGAATACCCTGCTTATGTCGAAGACGGAAGTCAATAACCAGTCCCTGCCGATTTCTCAATATTAAAGATTTAAAAAACACCGGATATCTCGAATCCCCCGCTCATGTAGAAGTATATTTTA